AATGAAAAAGTTATAAATGTATAATGAGTAATGCTAGGAACACAAAAGGAATGTCTGGGACACATATGTTTCACATGAGGTGTCACATGCGTGGGACCTACATGTGAAACCCATCCCGAATGAGATATAGGAAAATGTTTAGAACTCCCACAAAGGAGGACTCTCACTGATGTATTGACCATTGATGTGTTTGAATTTCTTTTTTCTATCTCTGACACATGAATGGTCCAGATCATTTTGGGGGTTGTGTTTTGTGATGGTCTCTATCATTACTAATAAGATATATGTGTCTCATTTTATGTTTGGTGTCTATGTACCTAGACTTGTTGTTTAATATCAATATAGATGATTAAATAAAGAAAAATAAAAAATAATATGTATTGCAGTATTAGAAAGATGGGTAAAGCACCAATAAATCTCAAAATGTGATTTTGTGAACAGTTTAGTCCTCTGTTTTTTCTTATGAATCTAAAGGTTCCATTAAAGTGAAAATTACACGAAAAGATAGTCACTTATACATTTGAGTTTAATTTTTAAATGACAAAAGTGGGTTTCTCCAAATGTGTAGACATTTGGGCAATCCGGACTATATAGGTTTTGAATTTTCTCTCATTTTGAAATAAATTCCACTTTTCGAATAATAACGTAACACTCTAATAACGTAACTAATAACGTAACACACTAAAACTCTTTAGTGTACTTTTTCTTTTTTTCAAACGTAACAAGATAACAATCTAAACTTTTCTCAAACTTAATACTCTAACGTAACACACTCCAATGTAATACATAAAAAACTCCTTAGTGTATTTTTTCCAAACATAACACTTTAATCAATGTAATCTCAAACGTAACACTCCAATGTAACACACATAAAAACACTAAAAAACTACTTTGTGTACTTTTTCTAAACGTAACATTCACAGTTTGAAGTTATACACTTACGCAAATCTTACTAAGAAATTTTTGTACTCTTTTTTGAATGGTTTGAAGAATCCCACACCCTCATGGAATGGTTTGAAAAATCCTACATTATTTTTTTGGAGTGTTAGATTATAACATTACGTTTATAGAACGTACACTAGGGAATTTTTTATGTGTTACATTGGAGTATTATACTAATACGTTTTTTTAAAGCGTTACGTTTGGAAAAAATATAATATATTTTTTTGAAGTGTTACATTAGAGTGTTTCATTTAATTGTTATATTGGAGTGTTATAGATTGAAATTATACATTTGTTCAAAGTTTACTAAGCAGTTTTTGTACTCCTTTTGAAATATTCAAAGAATCCCACATTTTTTAAAAATGTTTGAAGAATTTCATATTTCAAGTCATTCCAAATAAAAAAAATTTCATATAAAAATTCATCCCAAATTTGATTCTCATTGATTGTGTATCTTACTTTTTTAACACACATACACACAAAAAAAAGTAAACATAATATAAATAATGGAATAACTGTAAGGGGTACTTATGTGTAGGTCTTAATAAGTGGACTTATTATCTAACAAGTCCTATGAGAAAATTTTGTCATAAAAAAGTCACTAATTGTAAGTTTTAGTTACAATTTATAAAAATCATGACAAGAAAAAAGTCACTAATTATCAAGTTTTAGCGACATATGTAAAAAATTGTCACAAAAAAATTATTTTTAGCGATAATTTTACCAAGACTTATTTTCAATAGGACTTGATGAAAATTAAGTCTAACTATTAGGACCTATTGGTAGTTTACCCTAACTGTGTAAATCTAATTTTTAAATAATATATTAAATCTACCTTTCCAAAATCAATAGGACTAATTGGTCTATAATTTTTTTTTAAGACTAAGGCCAAGTTTGGGATGTTCCAAAAAAGTCAAAAAGTCAAAAAGTTACTCAAAAAATTAAAAAGTTAACACTATTCACCAAAAGTCAACAATTACGGCTGCACAACTCCCAATTCAAATTTTTCCTTACAAATCAATTTTTACAATTTTTTATTACACATTTTTTAATAAAAAGTCAAAAAGTTAACCCAAACATCATTCGGGCGGATTGGCGATTTATAAAAAATATAATTCAAATTACAAAACTTAAATCAAAGAGTAAAAAAAAGAAGAGAGATATCGTGATGTTAAGCATCTTGTGAAGCTTTCTTCTGATGCAGCAAGTGTAGCAACAACATGATAATATCAACGACTATGCCATCAGTTCATTACAAGCATCTGTGGAAGCTACAATGATCAAATACAATACATAAAATTCCCCTCGAGCAGTAATGTAATACTATATTCTAAGGTATAGAACAATAAACAAACTTAAATAAAAAAGAATTTTTAGAATCCTATAAAACATGATTTAATAGCGGTGCGGGTCGGTGCGGTTTGGAAGAAAAATAGAAACCGGCGGATTGATAAAAGTCTCACTAGAATTTGCCATTTTTCTTACCAAAAACCGGCGGTTCGATTGATAAATAATAACGAATTTGCTTTGGCGGCGCGGTTCGGTGCGGTTTTGGCGATTTCGGCGGTTTCGGCGGTATTATACACACCCCTACATAAGATTGATAGGTAAATTTTCTTAGAAAAGAGATTAGGCATTTTCAAATTATTATTTTCTCACGTGACAGTTAAAAGTAATTATATTGATTTTATTTCATCTAATCAAATATAATAATCATTATCTCTTTCCGATCATTTATTCTATTTATTAACCACATCGTGTAACTTATCCTTTACAATCTTTTTCCTGATCTAATCATATATTCAGTCGTTCATTTCATCTAATTGCCTAATTATGGGTTGATTTGGTAAGTAGGTTTGCTTTTTAAATTTTTAATTATTTTATTTTGAGATTAAAAGTTTTATTTGGGAAGGATCTTTTTAATTTTTTTGACTTTTTGTAAGAAAAAGAATATAGGGCTTGTTTGGTTTGTTTTTGGGAGAGTTGTTTTTGAAAAAAAATTGGGAAGAAAGTTTAGAAATTTTTTTGGTTTGTTTGGTTGTATATTTTGGGAGTTTGGAATGATTTGATATTTTGAGAGAATTTGAGTAGATATGTATAACAGAAAAAGTGATTGAGAAGGAGAGAGGAGAGAAAAAAAGTGATTGATTGATGCATAAGAGAGAGAAAGTGATTTTGAAATTTTTTTGAGAAAAACTCAAACCAAACAATTTTTTAGAAATTTTTTTCTAAAACTCATTTCCCAAATGCAAACCAAACATAATGATTATGGATTAAATGTGATATTTTGTCTTATTGAGTTAAAAAAAACTATTTTGGGGTCTTTTGGGAAGTTGCCAAAAAATCAACTTTTTGACTTTTCAGTTTTTTTAGCAAAAAAAATCAACTTTTTCTCCCAAAATAATCCAACTTTTTGCCAAAAAAAAGGTCACTAAAAAAATCAAAAAGCCAAAATATCAACTTTTTACTAACTTTTCAAAATATCTCTTTGTCTTTTTGTGGCTAATAGCCCCAAAACCAATCCAATCCTTTTTCCCAAATGAAGCCTATATCTCATACTCGTATCAACAATTATTGTATCTCAATCTCATAAAAAATAATATAACAATTAAATCTAACCATATTACATTTTACATAATATTATATCAATAACTTTATAAATTTAGACTTATAAATTTAAATAAATTTTTAAAAAATTAATGAGTAAGATTTTTTTTATGTATAAATTTCACACTTCATTACTTTAATTTTCATCCCACAAATACATCTGAAATAAATTATAAATTAATAAAATGAATTCATAACATTTTCGATACAATTACGTACAAATAGTGAACTATCATCATCTTTTCGGGGAGAAGGGGTACGATTGTACTTAGGCACATCAGTTATTATTGTATTTCTTGCGAGAGATTGTTTCTAGTGTTATTTTAATAATTTAAACTGTTTATATTATAAAATTCATCAGTAGATTATGTATACAAAAAATCAAGTTGATTGCATATCTGTGATCCTATAACCAAAGTACATTTGTTTCTATAAAAATAAACGGTTAATATAACTTTCATAAATTTTTAAGGGTTGGTTTGGGGGAGTGGGTTGATTTTTTAGCTTTTTGACTTTTTTGGCTATTTTAGCCTGAGCTAAAAGCTTGGTTTGGGAAGGATTTTTGACTTTTTGACTTTTTTAGCCTGAGTTAAAAATCTTAGTTTAGGAAAGACTTTTTGACTTTTTGACTTTTTTGTGAGAGAGTGTAATGATTATGGGTTGGATGTGATGTTTTGTTTGTTGTGACTAAAATAACTTATTTTGTCTTTTATGACTAAAATAACCAAAAAAGCCTACAAAACCACTTCCCCAAAGTAATTAAAACTTAATCATGAGGTTATGAATATTCGATTAATTTAATTTTTTATATGAATAATATTCTTGACAAATTTTATAATATGAACGATTTAAATTATCGAAAAACACTCAAAAAAACCTTCCACAAAAAGACAAGAGAAAAGTTAGGGATCATGAAAGGTTTTTTATCTTTGGATTACCTTAATTAATGTGTAGTACTTTTTTTAAGTATAATTTAAAGGTCACAAAATTTTTATAATTATTTTGATAAATTTTTTTTTATGATACTTAACATTACTGAAAAGACAACAACACCCACTGTACCCTAAGATACAGCAATAACCCTTCTCCTTTTTGTGGAGAATGGGTTGTACCTTAAACCACAGCAATTACTTCTTAGATTGATACATCAAATAAAATTGAAAAATTTGGACCCACTATTCATTACCATAAATGACCTTAACTCTTCCCAAATTTTATGCTAGAAATAGCGTTATAAAAATCTCAGATTGGAAGGGCGTTTCGTCTTACAAATCACCCTATAAAAACCCACCAGCGCCGCTACGCATCACCAAAAAAAAAAATATATATATATCTCCATCTCCGGATTCTCTCTCTCTAGATGCGTCTTTTCTCTCGATACTCTCTCTAGGCCGTTACATATGCATACATAAATACTCTCTCTCTCTCTCTCTCTCTCTCTCTCTCTCTCTTCTTCGGAAAATGTCGCCGGGGATCGGAAAGTACAATCAAATCAGGCACATTGTGAGAATCCGGCAGATGCTCCGGCGGTGGCGCAAGAAGGCTGCAGCGGCGGCGGCGGGATCAACGAGATCCGATGTGCCGGCGGGACACGTGGCGATCTGCGTGGGGAGGAGTAACAAGAGGTTTGTGGTGCGCGCGACGTACCTGAACCATCCTACCTTCAAGAACCTCTTGGTTCAAGCCGAGGAAGAGTACGGGTTTACCAACCAAGGACCCTTGGTTCTACCTTGCGATGAGTCGGTCTTCGAAGAGATCCTCCGAGTCGTGTCCCTGTCTGACTCGGCCAACTCGGGTCGGTTTGTTAATCTCGACGATTTCCAGCGATGTTGCGACGTGGGTCGTAGGAGTAATCTTGATGGTTTGGGTGAATCTGGACCGTTGCCTCACGGGTTGGGTGATGAATCAGTTTGTTGAGGATGACCCGACTCGGTATATGGGCGAGTTACTTTTTTTCTTTTTTCTTTTCTTTTTTCCTCCACCTGGTTGGTAGTGATTTTTAGCTCTGGCGGAGATGGCAAAGAAGGGGTTGCAAGTTGACCGAGTCATCCCGAGATTGAGTTGGAGCGAGTCGGCAAGTGGGTTATTAGGTTTTTTAAATGGGTATGTCTTGTAAATTTCTTTATTTTTATTCACTATATTTTTAGTAGTTGAAATTGCACATGCTTGCAAACAATTTTAGTGAACTTGCTTTTCGTAAATTTTAAAGAGAGATTTATGGGGCAGTCCTTTGAACCGGATTTAATACTTAACAAATTTTGTTTTAAATTAGTAAAGTCATATTTTTTATTTTTCTCTCACAATCTAACTTGGTAGTTTACAATTCTCCATTCAAAATCAATTCTCACAGCAAACTCACCATTTTTTTAATAATTATTAATCACAAAAATCATTATCATTATTTTTCAAATTAAAAACCTCACCCGGACTCATTGGGTAATAATTTAAGAATAATGCTTGGGACCCCCTTTTGGAGGTCACCCCCTCACCCCTTTTGTCATGTGGCGGGTGGTGATTGGAGGAGCAGGAAAAAAAAGAAAAAGAAAAAGAAAATGTAACCAATGAGAGGAGGGGGTAAGGGGTGGGGAAAAAGGGAGATGAATCATTGTTGATAATTTAAACCAATAAAATCGGTTAGGAATCTTGCCAATTTTAATTTATTTATGGAGTAATATTACTAAATAATATGACATTTATTTGCATTTATTTTAAATGAAAAACTTATTACAATAGTTTATTATTTTTAAAAAATGTTTGTTCGAGTAAAAATTTATGTATAATGTTTTTAAAAGTAATTGCAAATAAATGAAAAATAAAAAAAATATTTACAAAAATATGAAAGTACAAACATGGTCTATAATTGTACAAAGTAAGGTCATAATTTTATGTTTTTGCAATTACTTTCTCTAATTCTTACTGATTTGTAATTTTTCTAAATTTTTTGTTTGAAGATTATTTTCTAATATATAGATGCTAATGTGTAAAAGTTGACTACATTTATTCATTTTCGGTACACAATGGCTCCGTTTGGGAAGAAAAAAGTCAGGTTTTTTTTTGGCTAAAATAGCCACAAAAAATAAAATAGGCTATTTTAGCCACAAAAAATAAAACAACAAATCCAACCCATAATCATTACAATCATCTCTCACAAAAAAAATTAAAAAAAGTTAAAAAGCTAAAAGATCTTTTTCAAACTAGATTAAAATAGCTAAAAAATTAAAAAACCAACCCACTTCCCGGGGCAATATAATTTTCTGCAACTACTCTCAAAATAGACCTATGAAAATGCGATGTCAAAATAGTCTTACAAGATGCGATTCGAATATCATAAATGATATAAGTGAAACTTGCCCTAACACCACTTGATTTTAGGAGAGAAGATAGAACTCGGTATGACAAGGGCATTCAAGTTTAATGAGTTTAGCATTTAAGCCTTGTTTGAGAAAATGTTAATTTAGTAATTTTTAATTATTTGGCTAAAATATGAACTAAAAAAATTAGTATGTTTAGAATGATTTTTTGGCTTTTTATGAAAAGATGTGCAAAAAGTAGAGAGAAAAAAGAATCTTTAACTTTTTGGTATGAATTGTTGACTTTTTGACTAAAATGGAGTGTTTCCAAACGAGGCGTTTAGTGGCTTAGTTAATTTTTAAACTTTTTTTAAGAACTTAAAATAAATTATGCATTTGAAAAATTGTTAAAAAAAATCATTTTTTTATGAGTAAAAATATTGAATGGCTTATTAATTTTTTTCAACTACGACAGATTATTGATTTATTTAGCTCACCTCAAACATGGGTCTAACAAAGTATATTGAGGAATGGGTTCTAACACGATGTTTGGGAATACAGGAGAAAAAGAAAGAGAAATATTTTGTCAAGTTAAGAGATAAAATAAAAAAAAAGAGAAAATATACAGTGTGTTTGGTTTGAGTTTTCTGAATTATATTTTTTAAAAAATAAGTTTTTTTGGTTTTTGTGTTTTTTTATTTTTAGTGAATATTTTTAAAATTTTAAACATTTTTTTTTACTTTTTTAGTACACCTTACTTAAATGTATCTAAAAAGTAAAAAATTTGTGAAAAAATATTTTAAAATTTAATAAAGACATAAAAATACAAAAAAATATATTGAATTCTTGTATTTTTTTTTTGTGTATTTCTGATATTTAGTGAATTTTTAAAAGATTTTTTTAATATTTTTTTACTTTTAGGTGTATTTATTTTAGGTGTGTCTAAAAAGTAAAAAAATTACTTAAAATATTAAAAAAATTCAATAAAAATAAAAAAATATAAAAAATAAGAAAGTAGAATTTTTTGAAAAGTATTTTTAGAAAAATGAAACCAAGCAAATGTTTTCTCCACCTCTTGTTTGGTCAAGTTAAAAAAAAAAAATGTGATTTCTTTCTAGGATTGTTAAACGAATCAAATTATTTGAATTTGACTTGTGTTTTGTTCATTAAAAGTTCGTTCAAGATTAACTTATTATGCAAAACTAGCAAAATTTAAACATAATTTTAAACTCGTTAAATTTTCAAGTCAAACTTAAATAAACTACTATTCGAATTGATCAACTTTCATATATTATAAAAAAATCAAGCTATTTGAGTTCAACTCATGTTCAACTTGTTAAAAAATTGTCCGATATCGATTCGTTGTATAAACAAATTAAACTTAAGTTTATTTTGAAACTTGTCAAATTTTAAAGCTAAATTCAAACAACTTACTACTTAAGGCAGAAACTTTTATAGGTTGTATTAGTATAATAACATTTTTATGTTTTTATTTTAAGTACCTAAATTGACAATTTTGATATAATATAAAGGGAATGGCTTTTGTCCAATCTTTAATCGGATTGGTCCATGTCGTTGGGCCCGTGGAGGCCCACTACGGGTCTCATTTTGATAATCTGAACCGTGTAATGTGTAGAACTCGTCGAGTACTATATACTTATAAAAAATCACATTGATCGGATATCGATAGCTATGTCATCAAAACAGATTTTTGTCAATCGTTAATTTATTCACCGTCCATTTTTTTTTATACAAAACTGATTTGATCATATAGTTATCGATATCCGATTAACGTGATTTTTTTATAGGCATATAGTACTCGACGAGTTCTATATATTCAACGGTTCAGATTATCAAAACGGGATCCATGATAGACTCCCACAAATCTAACAACACAATTCATCTTGATTAAGGACTCGACAGAAGCCATGCCCTTATATAAAATCAATTATCATCCCATTTGCTTCGTATTTCTATTATCTTTGGTAATCTAAACAAGTGATTAAGGGTTGGTTTGGGGTGTACTAAAAAAGTGTACTTTTTGTCTTTTTACGAAAAGATGTGTAAAAAAGTAGAGAGGTGATGTGATGAAAAAAAGATAAAAAGATAAAAAGATGGATTATATAGTAGAGGACAAACAAGGCCTAAGTTTAAGAAAAATATATTTCTTTTATTTTCTTTTCAAATCACGATGTAGCCTAGGTTGCTGGAATATATCATGAGAGACAATGTACACAATGTCACTCCTCTCTAAAAACAAATTTGCGAGGCTTTGAGAAAGTACTCAGAACTTGTTTGGGAAAAAATTATTTTAGTTAATTTTTTAATTTTTTTATAAAAAATATGTAAAAAAATAAAAAAATGATATAATTAGATTTTTAATTTTTTAATTATTTTAGTCAGTAAGTCAACCCCAATGGGGCCTTAATAAGGTTAATTATGATTTATTTATTAGGTGAAAGAATTTAAAATTTGTATAATACAAAATAGAACTAGGCATAGGGTTATCCGAACCGCACAATCCACATAACTGAACTGATCCGCATACAAATAAGTGATTTCGCAGACAAAATGCGGACATATGTGGTTTAGAATATGATATGATTGTGAGTTGCAGGTTTAACCTGCACTAGCAAAAACCCGCTCGCACTTAGACTTTTTTTTTTTTTAATCTAGACTGTTGTTATTTTATTATTGCATTTTAAATGAATGTAAAAGTAAATGAAAAATTACTTTTAGGTAAATTTAGGATTTGAAATGATTTTACGTTAATTGTATTGTTGAGTAATAGATAGTGAATGAGATTGATGATCTAATGTAAGATTTTGAATGATTTATTTGTGTTAAGAATTAATTTTGTTGTGTTTTTAATTTTATAAATTTTAATTCATTAATTATTATTAATAGTAGAGCATCTTAGAAAATACAAGAAAAATGACCCAAAATGAATATTTATAAAATAGAAAAAAAAGGCTCAAAAATAATTTAAAAAAAAAAAAAAAATCTAATGAACAAACCACCAGAAACAACTTACACATCTACGAATTCTATTCACACAAATTGTAATGGGTACTGCAAATAGTTACGAGTTAAATTTTTCTTAAATCACATGTATACGGGTGAATTTAAATTAATTCGTAAACTGTCTAAAATCGAATCCGGGCCCCTCGCCGACTACAAAGTCATGCTAAGAAGACTTGGGTTTGTTTCAAGTGAAAGTCAAGATGTGGAAAATTGGTGATGATTCGTGTTTGAAAATGTGGTGTGTTTTGCTTAAATTAAGCACTTTTTTGTGCTGGTAGTGGATACAAACTGGTATTAAAGGGACAGAGTTACTCCATTAGTGGCAGAAAAGTTGTAGAAAAAACGTGTTCTCTTCTGACTCATTGTTTCCAATGCAAATTACCCACTCGGTGAATTTATTACTCATCTGTAGAGCACCTCGATTCATCTCTTTTTATTTATTTTTTATAACTTGATATTCGATTCACTAAATAAATTAATTAATCATGGAGAATTAATTTTTATAACATCCATTAGCAGGTATGGACTGATTCCAAGAGAAATTTAAGAAATTATTCATATTTATGAGTGAAAAGTGTAATTTATTCTAATAATATTTTTCACCCTTTTAGCTAATCTTGATTAGTGACTGTCTTGTGTCTTTGGCTTTTTTTTCAATATTTTTTTGACAATTATAGCAAAAGGAAAAAAATTAATATACATGGAAATGACATTTAATTGTATCAACAAAAAAAGAGAGTAAATGACTAGTTATGATTTGCTCTTTTAGTATTTTTTGAGTTTTAAATATTTTTTTTTGACTTCTTAACCTTTTAAAAAAAAAAACTTAATAACAATCACACAGTTACAATTACATTCATGTTGTTTGAATTAGACATTTATGTTGTTTATGAAGAGTGGTTTTTATA